AGAAAACTTTGAATCAATCTGACTGGATGATCTGGTTGTTTTATTTCTATGAAGTGACCTGAGATGACATGATGTGAATTAGAGCTATAGAAATAAACTGAATAGAACTGAACTGAATCAAAGTCTAAGACTTCTGAAGAAAACCAAACCTTGTAGTCATTAGCAGTTTTTAACAGCGAGTTTCTGGCTTATTAAAAAGAAGGTAAATCTGGAAGTCATCTGCATAACAGGAGAAACAAATCCTTGATTTAAAAGGTTTCCTGGTTTAAAAAAAAAAGACCTAAGAATAGCAGATATACAGACAGGAAGTAGGGGGCCTAAAACTTACACTTCTGCGCATTGTTTATCTACCACAACAAAACCAGACCTGCGTGAGAAACTGCCGCTCCGAGAGGAGAAAATCGCTCTCTGCGTCGTGATCTCACCACAGGCAGCATTTTCTACCCAGAGGCGACGCTGGAGGACGGCTGATCTCTCGACAGCGGCTCTGTTCTCAGACTCTGACCTCTTCTGTGAGCCTCTTCCTGATTGGGCCTCACAGACACGATCACATGGGAAGTAGCATCAGGAAGCCTTTGACTGACAGCTCGTCATCCATAAGTGAAGATGACGGCTGGAGGCGGGACAGTGGCGGAGGCTTCTCCAATGTTTGCGGTAGGTGGAGTAAGTGGTAAGCGTCAGTCAGATGTGCGGTAGTAGATAAATCATGTGCTAAAGTAGTTTAACATATAAGTATGTTTATTTTACTCCCAGGAGTTTTAAAATAAATAAATGTGACATAATACTTTGGTTGCAGGGCAAACTCCTGCATCCCACGCCACTGGCGCCCTGAAATGTTGGCATGAATAAAACGAAGCTAGCCTTATCTAATATCTGCGATCTACGTCTGAGCCAGTGAACTTACCTTCCATACAGGCTCGGCTCCTGTGTTCTTCAGAGGAGGAGTGTTGAAGTTCAACATGCGCTTTAAGGCGACTGCAGAAACACACAGAAACATTTATAAATGTACATGCTAACAGATCAGGTCTTCTCTCCAGACTAATCGTTAACTTCCGTCTAATCAAAGGATCAATTTGAATCGTGCCAACAGATGAGGAGGTTGGTTTACGTCGACAGTGCTGTCCGAATAATGCTGGAAGTAAGGCAGCTAGGAGGAAGAAACAGGACGCAGCACACTGCTAGCCACTGCTAACCACTGCTAGCCA